GTTCTGTTCAGTCCTCTTCTTACAGTGTTTTTTAAGCACAAACATCACATCAAATTAGGCAGCTTGCAGAATAATGTGCTTTGACTTTAGAGCGGTACAACGTGAAAAGCTTTTGGTGCTTCAATTGATCTTGCAGTCGTCATATAATCAGGAGTTTATTTTTAGATGATTTGAACAATTAAAAAAAAACACTCACCGTTTAATTTTGATCCTTTTTGAGGATTTTATGACATGCTCGACTCAGAGTGTGACAATGTCGTACACTTGAAATTTTGAGCCCTTTAAAATCACCAAAAAGTTTCACAAACAAATTTTTCTTTCTTCTACAAGCTTTGCTTCTGATAGTTTATAAACCAATGTGTATTAATATCTGTCATCATCTGTTGACAATGAGACTGTTTGGTTTCCTCTCAAATCCTTCCAGAGTGCAGAGTGCATCACCCAAACTCCCATTGACTTACATTTTATCTGTATCAGAATTTTTTTTTCCAAACCAGAAATGGAGGCTTGAATTACATTCCTGTCTCTTAAAACACTGCAGACTCACAGAAACTGTCCCGTGTGACGACCAGGATAGTTTTCAACATGACTCAAGGTTTTCACACAGCAGCAGTTTATTTGAGGCTCATTTTCTACGCTGTGTTTTTGGTCTGCCTGTCTTATTCAGAGKGCTGTYGTGTGTGTGGTTACCATTGTGACCCCAACGAGCCACTGACAGCCTCCTGAGTCTGCAGGTTTGAGCCCAGGTTAGCGCCAGGAAGAACAMCTAGCAAAACTTTCATCTGAGTTTCCTCGCTGTGGTGACTCTTGAAGAARGGAACATCTGAAAGACAAACAACTAAACAAACATATTTACAAAAAAAGCATGCACATTTATAAGCTACTGTTAATTTACATTCAGAAATTTGCTAAATTTTACTGTACGCCTCAAAGCTGAGGAATATATTTTCATTTTTATTTATAAAAAAATCTAAAAGAAACGTGTAAAAATAAAATAGCTATATTTTCAGATAATCTTAATTTGGTACATTTTTTCATCTACAACTAAAGAATAAGTCTTTATAACATTTTCTCTACCTCGGTGTGTGTGTGTTA